CGTTCATGAATGCATTAATCTAATTGTATTTTTTTTATTTTTATTGTATCTGTCAATTCTTTTACCATTACAAATATTAGAAAATGAAAAATTTTGCACACTTTTTAAATAACAAAATTTAATAATACCAATGTAATGTTATCATTTTAGCATTAATTGTATTAGCGGGAGCGTGTGTTATGTTAATATTTCGTTACGTACGTCGTTCACGCAAACTACACGGAAAATATAATCCAGCACGTGAAGAAAGTATCCTATCAAGCAGTTATTCAATGCCTATGGCTACTGTTACAAAAGAAGAACGGCTTATTTAGCAATTTGTTTATTTTTAATTTTTATTTATTATCAATAAAAAAAAAAGTTTTTCTTTCACTTTCATATTGCAGCATCTGATTATTTGTATTTTCATGTATACGTGAATTGTATATGAGGTTAAATGTTTGCATATATTTAAGGTTTCTACTTTTTACTAGCTAATTAATCAATTCAAAAATGTCAATTTGATGATGCTAACACAAATATGCAACAATCATATACGATGATGGCATGCTAAATGGCTTATCTCCAATTTATAAAGCATTGAAAATATTTAAATTCGATCTATTAGCATTTATCGAATTGAAATTGATGAAAAATTTATGATTAAATAATCATACGGTAATCTATAATTATACGGTAATCGTTCAATCATACGATGATGGTATATTTGAAAATACGGTACGATACGATATTTCAGAAATTTTTGCTGTAGTAGTTCTTGAAAGTGAAAATTGTGAGAATTATCATTTTTATTAAAAAAAATTTTTATTAGCAAATTATTATCATCATTGTTAAACGTATAAAAACTTTTCTCGGGTGAGTTTTATCATTTTTTTTGCATCTTCCTTTTTTGGGTGTATGTATATGCATTGAGTATTCATAAAATGAAATGAAATGATGCTTATGTATATTGATGAAATGTCCACATTTGTTATGTCCCTTTGTTGTCCACTTGTTTGGGAGTATTTTGTGGTATGTATATTTTTTTTTTATTTTACCTTTTATCGTTGTTGTATTCCTTACTTTAGCAAGTAATGAATTCAAATTTTAGTTCAATACTATCAAATTTGGAATAAATTATTTCAGTAAAGATTTATTCTAATAATTGCAAAAAAAACATAAAAGGAATGGAATCATAGAAGAGAGCATTTTATAAAAATTTTTGAAATAATAAATTTAATTTACGACAAAATTCCTTACGTATCACAAATTAATTTTAATTATTTTCTAGTTTTTCTTTTGAAGTTTATTATTATTTGTTAATGAAATATGCTTTCAGTAATATTCCATAAAATAGCCAAAAATGCTGAAAAGTTAAAGCTTATCACTACTACTATTACAAATGGATTTGCCTATATCGCTAGCATTATTAGATCAGATAAGCGTTAATAAGCAATCTGACGAAGACAAATTCAGTTATCCAAAATGTACTTCAGCAATTAAATTATATTTTTTAATTTTGCATCTAAGACTAAATTAATTTTCTGAAACGAATGAATAATGAGTGGAAACAAAAACTTCTCGCAGTAAAAGAAAGCCTTTCACATTCTGTTTCCCGCGACATACCGGATTCACCAGAATGATAAAATTCACGGATAATTTTGTCCAAAGTTTTCATTTATCTTTCTCTTTCTGCATCTTTATTTTCTTTGATAATTTTATAGTAGCAGATAGTTGGAAAGGCTTTCATTATTTAAATATTCAAAATATTTCCACTTTTTCTTTTCGTCTTTCACATTTTATAAATTAATTCCAAAACTTTTTTCTTTTGTAATTAAATTTTCTAAATTGTTGACTGATTTTATGCAATATAAATGATCAAAAATCATTTCGATTATTATTTTCCACTAAAATTACTGTAATTTATTCAACACTATACGACCAATATTCTTTCTATAAAATGATATATCTTGTTTCATTTAATTTAATTTTTTGTTTTTTCATTAGTTATTATTATCGTTATCAATGTATTGCCACCAATATCTTTTTAATTTCACAATCATTTTATGAGTTCTGGAAAAAGTTCTTTAAAGCAAAATATTGATTGTTAGATTTTAATAATTTAAGAAAAAAGAAACTATTTTGATTTTATATAAATTTTTTATTCATTTCATTTCATTTCCGTTCCTTTATTCTGTCCAAATTAAATTTTCGAAAATTTCTAATATTACAAAAACTGTATTTGGTTTAAACTTGCTAATTCACTTTTCAAAATTCGATGAACAATTAAACAACACTTGAAAAAAAATTGTCTTCTCATTAAATACAAATAAAAAAAGGTTTTCAAAAAAAAAAATGCATTTTATTGGATTGTTTGTTTTTTTAGAAAAAAAAGGAAATGAATTTTTTTAATTCTGTTTCTTGTTTTGCATTTTTTATTGCATTCCATGCATTTTTAATTTCAAATTTCAGACAAATATTTTCTTTTTTAAATGATTTTTTTTCTGACTTAAACATGATATACCATATCATTTTCAATTATTATCAAAAGATATCTTTTTTTTTCAAAGAGAAAAAAATCATTCCATTTTAATTTACTCACAAAAAATTATTAATATTCCTCTCATTTTTTTTTAGAAAAATTCGTTATATTTTAATTTGGTCATGAAAAATTATTAATATTTGTTATAAATAAATTTCAAAAAAATTATACATGTATACTATTTATTGTCTTTAATTTTACTGTTTAAAATCATTTTACAACATTGATGTTTGATGCTTTATGATTGCATACACCATTCTTTTATCATATAAAACAATATTCTATTGATAATACGATTAAAAATGACGTGGCATAAAATTTGACGTGAAATTCACGCATGAATAATTTTAAACGAACATTGCGCAAATGTCATCATTTCTTTTTTTTTTTCATTCATTTGACTTATTGTACATGAATATTATATAAATACAAATAAATAAATAAATGAATAAATAAATAAGTAAACAAATAAATAAGCAAATAAATAAATGGATAAATTAATACAGAAATAAATAAATGAACAAACAATTAAATAAACAAATAAGTGAATAAATAAATAAGTAAATAAACAAACAAGCAAATAATTATACATGTAAATGAATAAATAAATATATATGGATATATATATATATATGTTTCATTGGCAAAAAAAAGTAGCCAATTACTAAATTTTTTTTTGTAATTTTATTTTAGCCATGTATTTGATTGTATTATATACAATTAATTTCTTTTCTTTTTGATTTCTTCTTTTTTGCTTACAATCTTTGCTATTTAATTTTAGACAAAATAAATTTTAGCGAATTCGAATAAAGAAATAAATTTTCCATTTGAATACAAAATGGGTTATAAAAAAATGAAAATTAACGGAGGACACCTCTAATATCGGCAAAGTATTTAATCCTTTCAATTTATTAGTTGACAGATAGTACACGAAGAAATTTTGAGATTAGGAAAACAGCGAACTTCGAAAATGAAGTACTTCATGATCGATTATCGGAAGTTGACAATGTTGTTTTGACAGTATCCATCAAAAATGATCATTTCAAAAGTTGAGGAACCGAGAAACCCTTAACAACAACGATTTCTACATTTATTCAGCTTTTTTAAGCAAGTTGGAAAAGGTAAAAAAGGGTCAATAAACGGACAGTTCATAAAATGACCGACTATGAAAAAATAGTCACCTTTTTTAATCATGCAAAAGTAGCGAATGGTTGTGACATATGGATAAGACTGTAACATATGAAGATATATCATAGCAATTACAATGACATCAAATATTACAATTGGTTGAGCGGCAAAACTCAAAAGCGATTTCGAAAACTGAAATTATAAAAGGAGGATGAGGTTGTCATTGATTGGTATCACTTGTGGGTCACTTCAAGTTTGAGAATACCGTGCGGAGCTGTCACATCACTAATGTCACACCATTAAATTACTGTAGAAGATACAATGAAAAATTTCTCGGTTTTTATCCAAAAACATTGATTAACAAAAATGATTCAGTTTTAGTCAAACGATAATACGCCTAGTCAAACATCAAACAATCTGCGCTTCAAAGATCAGAACCAATTAATGATTGATTTTAATTATATTAAATTTGTCATACTAATTTAACTTATCCATCACTTCCTCAATTATCATCTTCGATTACGACAAATTTATAATAGAAATACTTCAACAGTTATCAGAAAGCGAACAAATAATTTAACTAATAAAATTTGTCAAAC